TCATGAACTTCAATGGTGGAACTTCTCCTTAGAGGTGGTGGGGGGGGGAAGAGCTGTATTCTCAGACCTAGGATGAACAATTATAGTGAAGCTTATAAAGAGTTATCTAAATGCCTAGCCATTTTTAAATTCATCCCTTTCCTCAGTTCTTAAATCTATGATATGATATGAACTTATATGAAGGTAATGCCGAACGCATGGTTACTCTGAACAGGCAATTGCAGATGTTTATTAAATATTTTGACTTATCTTGAACACAAGTTATACAAGATGACACCATGTTCCTATTACCAATGATGTCACATCAGACACCACTACATAGAGAGTTAGGGAAATGGATGTAGATATAGACAAGACCTTAGCCAACCCCACTTTTCAGCAAGGAAGATGAAAAAGAGCAAAGATGAACAAGATGCCTTTCACCTACCAGAGAGAGCTCCATCCTCCTGCTAATCCTCTACCATTTGTCTAACAATAGATGGCCAGTCACATAACCACTTGATTATTGCCTGATTGATCCTTTACTGTTACAATCCAGTGATCATGATCCTGTATATGAATCAACAGGATAGGAGGAAGAATTTGGGATAATATCCTTGATAGCCGTGGTGCTGAAAGATCAAGGTCTGCAACTAAATCAGGTCCCACATTCTCTTGATTTTACCCCTAGAGACTTATACTTTAGACTTTAACCATCCAGTTTGTGTAGCCACCATAACTTTATGGTGAGAAAGTAGAAGACAGGGATGCAGGCAAATGCTCTGTGGGACACAAGAAGGATACTCCTGAATGGCTTCAAGACATCTAAGGTGATTAGCCACCTGTGCTCAGATGGAGACTCGAAACGTCTGCCTAAGAGCACCCAAACATTGAAACAGGTTTCTACAACAGCTTAGTTTTGATCCTGCTGTTTAGACCTGGCCAATGCTTTCACCTCGGTTTCTGAACTGTGGCTATTGGTAAGAAACATTGATTCAGCTTGAATTGGATAGGACTGGAAATAAGGCTCTGCTGACTGATTTCATTGAAGGCACCTCCATAACTTTTATAAACAGGACATTACAAGAGTTGTGTGGGCCAAGACAAGCAATTCCTTCAGCAATCAAACGCTTAGATTTACAATTACAAGTCACCCAAAAGCTTCAGGGTCTGCCTGATTTGTCTTTTCTTAGAATAGTGACAACTGTAAGATTTGTTGGGGGTGGAGATGGAAAACCAACCCTGTTGCTTCAGAAAAGTCAAACCCACAAGGAAACTTGTTCAGCATTAAAATCTGGAACACATTGAATTTCCTCCTGTAACATGCACATTTGGGATAGGGGAACTATTTGCTTGTGGATGCTTCTCAAGCAAGACACTAAATTTATCAGATAAATTATGTCTCACTCCCCAGCTCTCCAGAAATTCCTGTTGAATTGTCTACAGCATAGGTTACACCCATAATTCTATGCAGGAAAAGACCTCTGAGACCTATTGTACTGTGCTAGTTAGATTTTTTTAAATCCCGAAGGTTTGCTCAAATTTCTTTCTGTTTCAGTTTATTCTGATCTTCTTTTTCCTAGATGTCACACTTGTTGTATAGAGTTGGCATTTTCCCTTTCATATGAACAAAGTACATTCCTTCCTACACAGTTTACTGTACTGTATAAAAGTTCACTTAAAGAGAGATAGGGAAAAACAACAACTCTCAAAACCATAAAAATGAATAGAAGCAGATAAAAGTAGGCAAATGCTATTGGTTTATTATTTTGGCTAAAACAGAGCATCATTGACATATAGCCATATAGGCTGTCTTGACAATAGAGTGCTTATTTTTAATGGCTAAATGATCACAACATGCAAGAAACTATCCTTCTCTGTTACACTGTTCAAAGTAGCAAATGCCACACTATAATTTAAAATTTCAGATTTCAGCCTATCTACTCAAGGTTTCATTTTGGCTATGGGAGGGCAGGTGTCAAAGCTTTAAAAGAGACGGGCATTTGTTCAGCCACAAAAAATTAAAATGCAAATATTGAGAAGAAATATTTTAGCTCTACATCAGGCTGAAAGATTAGACATAAAAGGCTCGAGTGTAGATAATAAATATAGAGACGAAGAAATGTCAAGCTATAAAGGGTGCACTTATTCAACAATGGAGATTTAAAAGAGAAAATGGAAAGTTTAACTCTACATCAAGCTGAAAGAGTATTTTAAAAAATGGATGGAATAGTAATGAATGTATTTAAGTGGGAAGATATATGGAGAGTGTACTCAGGCCTGTCTCGCTTATAAATGGGATGGGGAAATTGTGGCTCCATGTGTACAGCTCTTAGCAGCCTTCTGCTCCTTCACTGCTTGGAGCTGCACTTCAGGAATATCAGTTGCCCATTTCTGATTTAAACTTCTTCCAGTTCTAGCTAAGGAAGGAACCCTTAGCTAGAAGGAAAGAATCCTGGAAAAATCTTGTGCAATATTTTTGCACTTAATTGAGCCAAAGCAAGAGTTAATATGCTTTGTGGGTGCCATAATTCATTTAATTATCCCAAGGAGCTAAATCAGAGGGAGTAATTTTTTACTCCTAAACAACTCCAGGTTGTCAGAGACTGAATTTTCCACAACCATCCATGTTGTTTAATACCATGATCCATAATTGGCCAATTTTTTCTATCTAGTTTGCCAAAGGGAGGGGAGACCCTACATTTATGAAGCAGTTTAAACAAAAACTTCATTCACTATTTCGAAAAACAATGATGAGCAAATGCCGACTGTCTGCAGGTCCAAGCAAGCTACCAAGCTGCTTGCAAACATTTACTGCTTCCAGAAGCAGTAAATGCTCCAACACTGGAAGTTTTTAAGAAGAGACTGGACAGCCATTTGTCCAAAATGGTGTAGGGTTTCCTACCTGAGCAGGGGGGTTGGACTAGATGACCTCCAAGGTCCCTTCCAACTTTACTACTATTAATTAATTCCAAACATGTATCCCACAGACAATAGCAATGATTCCCAATGAGAAAAAAATCTTAACATAAGTCTCCCACACTTGAAAACATTCATACGCAATTCTACAGGCTGACCAAAATAAACAAAGAAACATTGGCATCAGGTTTATCTGGAAAAGATCATCCATCCGATGTCGGGCATAGCCACCCTTTGTTGTAAAGCACACATACCACCAGTTGCATATAGACAAAACAAGGAGTTCTAGCCTGCCTATCATAAATTTCCACCCAGTTAAATTGGAATCTGTATTATTCTTAACTAAGCTGAACTGGTATCATTTCATTATTCAGGCATACCCAGTACTTCAGTTCATGGCTGCAACCCTGGGACCATAACTAGGATGCCAATGACATCCTGGAACCCCCAAAACACCCTGATCTTGGTCCCTTTACAGTTCTGGACAGCAACTAGGGAGGGTGGCAAGTCATTCATTCTGTGGACATCTTGTTGGAGATGACTTTCTTCTTGATTGTCACTTTTCTCCCCCATTAGAAAAGTGTGTTTTCTTTTGGATCATTTGCAGATTGGAGGGAACAGATTTGTTGATTGTTGTTGAAGAAGAGCAAGGATGGGAAGCGTCTCAGGGTTTCCCATGGCAGATTATTTCTTGCATTTTATGACCATTTTAGGAAAAGGAGAAGGGTACAAAGGGGGTGAGTTTGATTTTCAGATGTTGATGGTTTGTGATCTTTTTCAATTCTTTGCCTTCTATTCTACTGCCTTGTAGTATTAACAGATCAATTATCCACACTGCCTTCCTTTCAACCACAGTTAAATCTGGTGTGTTATGAGTCATCAACTTTTATTTGGAAATCCGATATTTTTTCCTGCTCATTTTCAACTACTTTTTCAAATCTATGTTCCCATCAATTTTTCATTAGTAACACGTGATAATTTTTACAGACTTCCAATGAAATTGTTGTTGTTGTTACAACAACTATTGTTGATCAAATCTGAACTCTGGGCAGCTTACTTCATAATTAAAACAATTATAAGACACAACAAAATCAAGCCAGACAGCCCAGACTAAAAATAACCATTAAAACCAGGCACAACAGCCTCCTCTCCCAACACATATTGGTAGTAATTAGTTTTTACCTTTCTGCATAATGTATTTTATTACATTCTTAGTTTTCATATTGGGATGAATGGATATAGCAATAATTTTCTGAAGATTGGAGATTTCATATTTTTTTTCAATGAAGATGCGTGAGTTAAAATTACGGACAGACTGTAGAGAATTTAGCTCCCATGTACTGCAATGGACAGGGGAGGTTTGCTTAAGAGTAATTCAGCTGCTCTTATTCTGTTCTTCAGCACTTTTGGTTCCAAGACCATATACTGCAGTTCTCAGAAATCTAGGAATAGGTTTGTATTGAAATTCAGGCAAGAGGGAGAGCCTGATTTTCAGAGGAAAACATTCTCGTCTGTTGTGGGAAAAGCAATGATCTGGGATCACTTGAAATACTAACATATTTATTATAGCGTAGGTTTTTCTGGACTGAAGTTCAGCTCACTAGATGCATGAAGTGTTAGTTGAGTTGCAGCTATGAATACACATAGAAGCAGGAGGGTGGGAAACTATAAATAATGAGGTCAGAGGGAAATCAAAAGTTAAAAGCACAAATACTTATTAAAACTAGTCATTTACAAAACAGCCTTTGGATGATAACATACACAATCCTTCTTGGATGTTGGTGGTAGTTAAGAAAGGAGCATCTGTCTGTTTTTTTCTAAAGTCCTTTTTCGGCTAGGTGAGTTAGAACTGGATGACATGAGCAACATAATTCAACTATTCTGCATTCTAATTGGCCACTGAAAGGTTTTTGCTCCAGAAGGACTGCAAACTTGTTGTAGGCATGGTTGGCATTGCTGAGATTATCTCCCAGAGTTATCTTTATCCCAAATAACTGAAAATACCCCAGCTGTAGTTTCAAAATAATTGCTTCTTTAAATGTCAACATCAACTTTTTGGAAACTGTTTTGTATATACTAATTCAGCTTTTCTCAGACAAATAAGCTCCAGATGTATTGAGTTATAACTTCCACCACCTTAATCCAACAAGGTTTGCTATTAGATACAAGTAAATTTTTTTCACATGGGTCAAGCCATTCTTCACTGTGCATGTATCTCAAAGAGTTTCAGTCATAATGCCTTCTTTCTAATAACTGCTATTTCCATTTTTGCTTTCCTATGACCATCACTATTCTAGGGAACATTTGCTGTCTCAACAGCTCACCGCATTTTTAAACGGATTTTTTTCTTCATATTCTGAACAAATGTAAAAATGATTTCTGGAAAGAATAGTTTTCTTTTCTTTCTCTTTTAATTATGAAAGTGGATTCTAGTATTTGAACATTTTCACAAATATGTGTAGAATTTGCCCTTTTCATAGGTTTAGATTTAAAGACATTGATTTGCTCCTTGTAGTTAACTAATTAGGAGTCTTTCAATTGATTTTCACGAAAGTAGTAATGGGACTTTAATCCAAATACATTGCAATTGCAAGTAGCAAAGAAGGGAGGATTTTCAAGCATTTAAAACTATCTGGATTTTATTGTGATATTATGTACTTCTCAAGATAAAATTTTGTCTGGCATTGAAGATGGTTAAGAAAATCTACATTTCAAGTGTGAATCCAACACCTCCACTTATAAACATAGTCTGCTTAAAAGGCTACCCTCTCTCGTGCCTGTCTTGAGATGTAACCAACATGCTTTATAATAAAAATTATTATTATTACTTTAAGATGCCTATATGAACCATTCTGCAGGAAAAATAACAAAGCTATTCATAATACATTGCAATTACAATAAAATAGAAATTACCTTGGCTCATTTTTAAATTCCGTTTTTGTTGTTGTTGTTGTTGTTATAACAATGGAAAACAAGGCTCCCTGTTCTCTTTTCTTTCTTAGGAAGTCAGAAAGAAATCAGAAAGAAGAAAAATGTCAGGTTTGATATCCAGGTAGCTGAATACATGGAAGCCTTCAGAAGTCCCAAGTCTATACAAAACTGAAGCAAAGAGGTAGTGTAAAACACATTGCATGATCAGAGAAAAGGAAAAATTGTAGCATGCACCATTTTCTTCTGGGAGAATGAAAATACTAATGCCATGATATTTTCACATCTAAAATATACAGAACAATTTATAAGGAAATAACATTAAAAAGTTATATTCTGCTTTACAGGCTTCCTCCCTGATATAAATCATTTCGGTTGCAATCCTTGCCTGAGATTAATATCAGAAGATCTTATTTCTGAACAAGTATGTATACGTTTGAACTTTCCAACACAATCAGAAGCAAATCTTCCTGAATTTAATGGAGTTCACTCAGAGAGTCAAATGGATATCAGATTGCAAGCTGAATATTATTCCCGGGAAGCAGAGTAGTGCCTCCAACTTATTTATATATTAATTTAGTGTGTTTCTAATCTAAACCAACATATTTCTAACTACTCATGACATCAGAGTTAACTTATGCTCCAGATATCTCATTCAGTGCCTGGTGCTCCCTACTAACATGGCTGAAGATATATGCTGGAAACTGGACAACCAGTGTGTATAACAGTCAAATTCATATTTCAGCCTATGTCTCTTCCAGGGCAAAATTAGAGTAATTTTACATGACCCTTTGAGCCCTTAAAGGAAAAGTAGAGCAGCATCTCAACGATCACAGCAGAAGGATTGACAGGATCCCATGCTTGTCAAAATGATTAAAACACACCACATGTTTGCAGATTGCGTCCTTTTCATGCATGGCAACACATGGGCAAAAGAGGCAGACCTTGAGCTATGTTTGGCACAATGGTTTTGGTCATGGTCCCCTATACCAACAGACCTCTCTGGACCACAGATTTCCCATTCTAATGCAGAGTGTGAGGCCCATCTGCTCTTTAAAATGTAAAAATGTTATTTGAAAGATAGGCAAAAGTCACTTCTTCTCAATTTATATTGATTATAAAATGGACATTATATTGCCATGCCATGATGCGGCAAGTCACTTTGCTCCTTTTATTAGGAAATAATGTAAGACCACACTGGAAAATTTAGAACATTGAAATGATCCATCAAAGATAAGTTAAACTAGACATTCTGAGAAAGGTAGCTTGTTGCTCTTTTGACAGATATCTTTGTGTTTACAGAAGCAATAGCACTTAGACTTATATACCACTTCATAGTGCTTTAAGCCCTCTCTAAGTGGTTTACAGAATCAGCATATTGCCCCCAACAATCTTAGTCTTCATTTTACTGACCTTGGAAGGATGGAAGGCGGAGGCAGTCTTGAGCTGGTCAGGATCGAACTCCAGACTATGGGCAGAGTTAGCCTGCAATACTGCATTCTAACCACTGCACCAACATGGCTCCTAAGTAATGTCAGTAATTCCACTTGGGCCCTAAGCTTTTCTTATAATTCTTCCAAATAGGAAAGATTAGTCTAACACATCTTTTGAATTTGGTATTATTATAGATTGATGACACCTGGATTTGCATTTATCTTCCTGCCCCTCAAACAAAATTTTTTTCATTTCAGAAAAAAACTCAATGTTTTTCTCTAATAAATAGAATTCTAATTTCTTCTGTAAAAGACCATAGCCAAGCAATGACCAATAATGATAGCTGATAATAATGTGTTGCTTCTTTTCCCCCTCCTCCTCCCCCAACAATCTGGCAAACTTTTTATCATGATTTCATTGTGATTAAGAAAACAAAATGTTGTTGTCCACAAGTAGAATGATTTTTGGAAAGGTGAGGGAGAGGAGTTTCACATTGGGTTTATTATTAACTTGGAGAGTAACTGCTCCCCAAGATTATATTTTTTTATAAAAGTGAAATAGACCTGGGCTAGTCAGCCTGAATCAAACTTCAAATATAATTTATTCTTGGTGCTGAAATTTTCTCACCAGAGAGAGAGCTTATTCAAACAGAGGCAAAAATGCTGTTGGAAGCAAAAAAAAAAAAAAAAAAAATTGGAAGAGATCGTTTAGATGTAGATGACACTGATGAGCTAAGTTGAAAACGGAATTATACATAATCTGAATAAATATACTCACATTTAAAATGGGATTGCAATCAAAGTGTGTGAGTAATAAGAACTACTAATAAATGCTTTACCTAGGAAAGAAGAGAGAATATATGCATAGTCATTATTTCAGTCACATTCTAATCCTCTTTCAAACCTAATTATACTAACCGTATTCTTTATGTTATAAATACAAATTATTCCCCTCCCCCCGTGAGAAAACTAAATTTATAGGCTTTTTAAAAGAATGCATAATGTGCACAAGCACTTTCTGAATGCCGCAAGAATTTGTACTTAGTAAGCATATGGTGGGGAAGACAAGATGAGTTAAATGACAGCTACCAGGTATTCTTTTTTTCCAAAATCCAGTATTGACTAGATTGCAACAAGAACAAAAAAACACACGATGGAACCAAGGCAAATTTAGCATCCAGATCATGAACCAGGGGAAAACTAAGAAAGATGCACAGTATAAAATAGGAGGGAGAACCAAACAACATCCTCCCCAAAAGAGATACTTACATCATTCATTGGACATCTTTCTTGACCAGAAATGATCAGCCTTCAAGGTCAGCTCTGTATTTTGGAAACAGTAGGCGTTCACACACCTGGTGGAGTTCATCTCTGAAAATGTTTCACACATGCTTTCCACATTCCTTATGCTATTCCTACTGGAATGCATTCTGTAATCTGCAGGAATTTCACCCCCAAGAGAAAATGTTTTGAAAGGTCCTCCTTGGTAAACATAGTGCTTATTTGAGATTGTTTGCCTTGTCTTTAGTTAGCTGTTTGTGAAGATCGAGGGATGGATTAAAGGGAAGCAAATTGAAAGGGAAGGCTGTAGATTCCTTACAGAACTGTCAGAGATGGGAAGGGAAAGTGTCTTATCTGTTCAGTGACCATGCAAGGAGAAAGTAACAATTCCAAATTAGACACTTTCCTAAAGAAAAAGTGTTGCCCCTACATAATCTTATTCTGTTCTAGAGATTCTTTTACTTCCTACGACAGAGGCAGAAAAAAAAATCTTGTGAGGGCAGGATGCATTCAGTGCCACAAAATCCATGAGGACAAGGGTCAAAACAGGCAAGACAGCAGACTGAACACCTCCTCCAAAGGGTGGATGTTGGATTATGATGCTGTATCTGTCATCTTGCCTGTTTCGACCCTTCCCTATTGTTGATCCAGTATTAACCCACTATTATTCCCAGAAGCTACATCAAAATGTGATACATCAGCATAAAAAGCATATTGCAAGCACTGTGAAAGCATATTTAAAGATAGGCAGACAGACAGATAGAGATAGCATAAGTCTATATTATATGTGGAAAAAAGAATGACCCAATGAATCATGGATTGTCTAGTAATTTTGAAAAGTGGGAAGGGATCCTGAGAGCAAAAAAGATTTAAAAAAAAAACAACACCATTCTAGGGTGTTAAACAGATTGGTGAAAGCGTGCCAGAACTTCCCTCTCCTCTTGCTTCCATCAAACAAAATCAAGGTGGGCATATCTTGAGTTTCTTTTTCACCCCCTCTCCTTTTCCAGGGCTAAGCTGATGTTTACTTAATAGTTCCTGCATTTCTTCTTCAATGTTACCTCCATACTCTGCAGTTATATTCTACAGTAAATATTTTAATCAGGTTACTTAGCAATAGGAAAAAAAACGTGAATATAAACTGAAGTATATAAGCTAGCATTTACAGTTCAGATTTCTAAGTGGTCTCCTAATATAGAATTCCAGTGATAAAAAGATTTTTCAAATATGAAGAGACATAGATTTTACAGACTATTTATCATTGACAAGAAGGAGTATCCTTCCAAGGTTGTAATAACTTTCTTTTTCTGTCAGTCATAAAACAATACACCACATCTTTCCATTGTCAAGCTATTAATTTTCAAAACTATTGTTCTATAACTCAGGGAAAATGGATATTTATAAAAACCAGAGAGTTTTCCAGAGCAAAATAATTTTTGTCCCCCTGGGAGACACTATAGCTCAAATCCAGAGCATATGAAGCCATGTTGCATTATGAGCACATCTCCCAAAAATTCTGCACCTGACCACCACTTCCAAAAAAGATACATAAGCACCCAGAGATACAACACATTGTTGGATTAATTACATTTTAACGCTACAGTTACCAGTGTGCATTTCAGTTCCTTGTTTCATGTTTTCTGATGCCCTTGGACATCTCATTTATTATATTCTAACAACATTTTATGAATAACAATTATAGGACAATTTTATGAATAATTATTACAAGACTATTTTACTAAATTCGGTAGTACTGAAGGGAATTTCCAATATGTCCAAAGGGTGCGAAGATGGCACTTTTCCAATCATCATCATAAAATCAAAGTCTACATTCTAACCAGACTTTCCAGAAAATGAATTATCTGCTATTTTTCAAGTTTGATATCTCACAATATATTGATTTGGCAAGGACAAAAAAAATCAATTAATACAGGAGAAGGAAGAATTCAGTTCATTGTAACATAGTTGGACTCTTAACAACTTCTAACTTGTAAGGGCTATCAGAAATCCTAATTCCAAATGGTCATGAGATCAAGTCCCTGGTAGGCAAAATTTGCCATTCTTTAGCTAAGAAAAAAAAGTGATGCATCATGTTACAAACTTAAACTTAAACAAGAATATTTAAATGAAAAAAATGGGAGAGGCAGAGAAATAGCTCACTAAAACATTGCATAATATTTTTGAAAAATCAATTTTAGGAATGGATAGAAGAATATCATGGCAGAACACTCATATTTTAAATATGAAGTTTATCCCTAATACTTACTATAAGAGTAATGCATTGATTAGGGCCATGCAAAACTATTTTTGCTCCATTGGCAATCCTGGAAGTGTTTCCATGCTTATTTACAAGCTCAAACAACTTGGGGAAATTCTCAAAAAACACTCAAAGCCTTTGAGGGACAGAAAGTTGGAGCAGCAGGTTCAGAGGAGCCCTTCACAAAGACTCCTTTTGACATACTATCAATCAAGGCCTTTTGCTGTTTCTAATAATGACATATTGGAATTTGAGGTAATCATCTGAAATGTATTTCTAGATATTTCTAACCCAAGACAAAGGGCTGTCTTTGAACACAACAGAAATATTACTCAAAGGCATCAATTTATACTTAGACCAAGTAAATGTCTATAAAACTCATCTTATGAAACAAAATACATATACAGACACTTATACACAACTTTTTTATTTACAAAACAAAGGTTATTTACA